AACAATGCCCGATTTTTTTTTTAATTAGGGGAGGTATAGTACTCCATTGCTGGTGTCAGTGGGAGGAATAGTGCCCCATCATTGGTGTCAGTGGGAGGAATAGTGCCCCATCATTGGTATCAGTGGGAGGAATAGTGCCCCATCATTGGCATCAGTGGGAGGAATAGTTCCCCATCATTGGTATCAGTGGGAGGAATAGTGCCCCATCATTGGTGTCAGTGTGGGAAGAATAGTGCCCCATCATTGGTATCAGTGGGAGGAATAGTGCCCTATCATTGGTGTCAGTGGGAGGAATAGTGCCCCATCATTGGCATCAGTGGGAGGAATAGTTCCCCATCATTGGTATCAGTGGGAGGAATAGTGCCCCATCATTGGTGTCAGTGGGAAGAATAGTGCCCCATCATTGGTATCAGTGGGAGGAATAGTGCCCTATCATTGGTGTCAGTGGGAGGAATAGTGCCCCATCATTGGTATCAGTGGGAGGAATAGTGCCCTATCATTGGTATCAGTGGGAGGAATAGTGCCCCATCATTGGTGTCAGTGGGAGGAATAGTGCCCCATCATTGGTATCAGTGGGAGGAGTAGTGTCCCATCATTGGTATCAGTGGGAGGAATAGTGTCCCATCATTGGTATCAGTGGGAGGAGTAGTGTCCCATCATTGGTATCAGTGGGAGGAATAGTGCCCCATCATTGGTGTCGGTGGGGAAATAGTTCCCCATCATTGGTGTCAGTGGGAGGAATAGTGCTCCATCATTGGTACCAGTGGGAGGAGTAGTGTCCCATCATTGGTATCAGTGGGAGGAATAGTGCCCCATCATTGGTGTCGGTGGGGGAATAGTTCCCCATCATTGGTGTCAGTGGGAGGAATAGTGCCCCATCATTGGTGTCAGTGGGAGGAATAGTGCTCCATCATTGGTACCAGTGGGAGGAATAGTGCCCCATCATTGGTACCAGTGGGAGGAATAGTGCCCCATCATTGGTGTCAGTGGGAGGAATAGTGTCCCATCATTGGTGTCAGTGGGAGGAATAGTGCCCCATCATTGGTATCAGTGGGAGGAATAATGTCCCATCATTGGTGTCAGTGGGAGGAATAGTGCCCCATCATTGGTGTCAGTGGGAGGAATAGTGTCCCATCATTGGTGTCAGTGGGAGGAATAGTGCCCCATCATTGGTATCAGTGGGAGGAATAGTGCCCCATCATTGGTGTCAGTGGGAGGAATAGTGCCCCATCATTGGTGTCAGTATGAGGAATAGTGTCCCATCATTGGTGTCAGTGGGAGGAATAGTGCCCCATCATTGATGTCAGTGGGAGGAATAGTGCTCCATCATTGGTGTCAGTGGGAGGAATAGTGCTCCATCATTGGTATCAGTGGGAGGAATAGTGTCCCATCATTGGTGTCAGTGGGAGGAATAGTGCCCCATCATTGGTATCAGTGGGAGGAATAGTGTCCCATCATTGGTGTCAGTGGGAGGAATAGTGCCCCATCATTGGTGTCAGTATGAGGAATAGTGCCCCATCATTGGTGTCAGTGGGAGGAATAGTGCCCCATCATTGGTGTCAGTATGAGGAATAGTGTCCCATCATTGGTGTCAGTATGAGGAATAGTGTCCCATCATTGGTGTCAGTGGGAGGAATAGTGCCCCATCATTGGTATCAGTGGGAGGAATAGTGCCCCATCATTGGTGTCAGTGAGAGGAATAGTGCCCCATCATTGGTGTCAGTATGAGGAATAGTGCCCCATCATTGGTGTCAGTGGGAGGAATAGTGCCCCATCATTGGTGTCAGTGGGAGGAATAGTGCCCCATCATTGGTGTCAGTATGAGGAATAGTGTCCCATCATTGGTGTCAGTGGGAGGAATAGTGCCCCATCATTGGTATCAGTGGGAGGAATAGTGCCCCATCATTGGTGTCAGTATGAGGAATAGTGTCCCATCATTGGTGTCAGTGGGAGGAATAGTGCCCCATCATTGATGTCAGTGGGAGGAATAGTGCCCCATCATTGGTGTCAGTGGGAGGAATAGTGCCCCATCATTGGTATCAGTGGGAGGAATAGTGTCCCATCATTGGTATCAGTGGGAGGAATAGTGCCCCATCATTGGTATCAGTGGGAGGAATAGTGCCCCATCATTGGTATCAGTGAGAGAAACCGTACCCCATCATTGATGTCATTGGGAGGAATAGTATCCCATTTTTGGTGATATTGGGTGGAATCATATACTATCATTTGTGTAAATGGGAGGATTTGTGCCCCATTGTTGGTGTCAGTGGCGGGAATGATGTCCCATTGATGGAGTCAGTGGAAGGAATAGTGTGCGCCAAGGGCCGGATAAAAGCAAGCAAAGGGCCACAGGTTTGGAGACCACTGTTTTAAAGTGCAACTCCACTTTTGTGTGAAAAAATATTACCAAATAAAAAAAAACCCAAAAACAATATAGCATATATAATTGTGACATAAGTCATATTGTAATCGAATGTCATTTAAAAAATGATTTCCTTTTCAATCTGCAGCGTTGTAATTTTCTGTAAAATGCAACATGGCACCCTGGAGGTGTTCTGTATACGGATGATATACAGAATGTGGGAACGCAGGCCTGTCTTTCACAGCTTGGTCTCCGTGTTGGGAGCACTCAGTACAGAAACATCGGCCACCCAGGGATGCATATATGTGGCCCACCCTTTTGCACATGTGTTGCGCGGGCAGCAACAGGGTAATTTTTTAAGTACTGAATAAAGAAAACAAACAGAGAGCGCACCCTTGAGCATTACCATAGCCTCCCTAGCGGTCTGATTATGTCCATATTTCTGCGCTCAAAGCGGTACATTTTTTTGCATGGAAATATGTATTTTTTTTATTGTAGGCCTGTAATTCTTAGGAATAACTCACTGAAATCTGTCCGAACAAGAGTCTAGTAAACATCCCGGGTGTGATAAAAACAAAATCATAAATTATAATTTAATAAATAATCATAAAAAATAATAAAAATTTAATTCAATAATATAATCAAACCAAAAACACTGAAATTTGAAATAGAGCACCAAGTTCTCACATCACTGAGCAAAGTCGCAGAATCGTTTTCAGTGTCTGATGAGGAATTTCCCCCGCGAATCATTATCACTCAATTCTGCAAGTGGTTCTGATTTACTATCGCTGTTCTCTAGCCGGTCTAAAACCGCTTAAAGGGACGCTTTTTGGACGCCATGGACGTGTCTCAGTTTCCAGGCAGAAAGAACAGTAAAAAATGCAGGCAGGGCGCCGGACAAAGCACTCGGGACAAAATGTATGTGAAATGGTTTGATACAGGAATGGGATACTATGTGATTTTAGTGTATTTAGTGAATGTCACTTTTGGACATTTTTAAATTTCCCGCCATTCCTTCCCCGTACCTACCGATGTCGCAGGGGACGGAACCCAGATGACAGATGCCGGCATCCGCCGGAGGACATGGCTGGTGACACTTTAGGGGTGACATCGTGGAAGCGAAGGACAAGGTAAGTGAAGAAGGGGCGGCACAGTGGCTTAGTGGTTAGCACGTCTGCCTTGCAGTAAATGGGTCATGGGTTCGATTCCCGACCATGGCGCCTCCTGCATAGAGTTTGCATGTTCTCCCTGTACTTGCATGGGTTTCCTTTGGGTGCTCCGGTTTCCTCCCACACTCCAAAGACATGCTGGTAAGTTAATTGAATCATGTCTAAATTGTCCCTAGTATGTGTATGTATGAATGTGAGTTAGGGACCTTAGATTGTACGCCCCTTGAGGGTTAGGGACCTTAGATTGTACCCCCCTTGAGGGTTACGGACCTTAGATTGTACGCCCCTTGAGGGTTAGGGACCTTAGATTGTACGCCCCTTGAGGGTTAGGGACCTTAGATTGTACGCCCCTTGAGGGTTAGGGACCTTAGATTGTACGCCCCTTGAGGGTTAGGGACCTTAGATTGTACGCCCCTTGAGGGTTAGGGACCTTAGATTGTACGCCCCTTGAGGGTTAGGGACCTTAGATTGTACGCCCCTTGAGGGTTAGGGACTGATGTGAATGTTTAATAGATATATATATATATATATGTAAAGCGCTGCGTAAATTGACAGCGCTATATAAGTACCTGAAATAAATAAATAAATAAGAAGGGATCCCGGAGCAACGCTGCAGTGTATTCCTGAGTGTAGCTCAGGGGGGTTACCGCTTGTGGTGCTGAAACTTTACCCCAAGCTACATTCAGGAATTCCGCCAGGGGGGTTAAAAAAATGTATTTAATAAAAGAAGATATTGTACTCACGAAATGAAGATAAGCCAGCTGGAAGTCCATAGTTCCCATTGCGGACAGACACATAGTGCTGATCATACAGAGCGGTTCCTTTATGATGTGCCTTTGACTGTATTGTCATTTTGTGAGTACAATACCTTCTTTTAGATAACTTTTTTAAGGTAATGCTCTAAGCTGGTGCGCCCTCTGTTTGTTTTCTTTATTCAGTACATTTGGACTCCCCCGGTCTCTTGAGGGCAGCAAGGCGTGCATATATCCCAGGACATTCGTGATATGGTCCTAAGTCCATCCCTAAGCATAGGAGCATCTGGGTTTGCTCTTCCTTTACTGTCATTTTTGAAGTAACCTACACTTTAATGGTAACAAACTAAAAGTAATAAAGTGTATTAGTTTGCCTAATAAACAGAGTTTCTGTTGGAATCAGGGGCGGGCTGACAACTCACGGGGCCCCCGGGCAATAGGGGATCATGGGGCCCCTGTGTCCTCGCCAACACTCAATAAAGCCTATGAAAAAGGTACCAGGGGCATCTCATGGGGCCCCTTACTGACCCCGGGCCCTCAGGCAGTGCCTGAGTTTCCAACTGGTCAGTCCGCCCCTGGTTGGAATAAAAACCATCCTGCCTAGCTGCCACAAGGATTCACTAGGGTACAAGGTTGAGAGGTGAGCGACTTTTGTCACCACGGGATAGGTTCCAACATTGGCAGCTGCTAAATACTTCGTTCTGCCGGTTCCTTTACCTTGTGACAGACGTCTGTCTTGATCTCCTTCAGGGCCCGTTCAGAGAACACACAGCCGCATTGTCTGAGCACACAAAATCTGCAGAGGAAAAAAAAACAAAAAGCATTTTACGAATGTAGACAAGTGGCGCAGCTTCCCTACCAAATCTAGAGGGTAACTATAATAGCTACCTGTGTTTGCCGTTCATTTCCAGTCCGACGATTGGGCAGATGAACTGCGTGTGCGCTGCTCGTCGTATTTGTCCCCTTTGGTGTTGCCTTTGTCCCCGGTCCATGCTGGATTGTCACTCAGATTCAATTCGATGACGTTCTGAAAAGCAATAAAAACACTAATAAAAGGGAAGCTCTACTCTAATATACATTTTTTTAAAAATAAGAGAGAGAATATACGGCACGTTGGCTGATGGGCTCTGATCTGATACAGAACGGCTTTGTTACTGGGTCCCAACCTTCTCTGATTTCACAGCTAGAGCTCCACCCTGCCCCTGGGCACTTTTCCCTTTACATTACATTTGGAAAGGGGGGGGGGGGGTCTGATTTCTATTGTGCTAAGGTAGGTGGGCAAATATTATAAAACACAGATTTTAACAACATAAGTATTTACACCTCACTGGCTAATGGGTACATTTGCCTGGAATACGGTTTGGAAGGAAGGTCATCATTGTGTCCTGTGAGCTGGGCAGGTAGGTCCTGTGTGGGGTCATCATTGTGTCCCGTGAGGTGGGCAGGTAGGTCCTGTGTGGGGTCATCATTGTGTCCTGTGAGCTGGGCAGGTAGGTCCTGTGTGGGGTCATCATTGTGTCATGTGAGCTGGGCAGGTAGGTCCTGTGTGGGGTCATCATTGTGTCCTGTGAGGTGGGCAGGTAGGTGCTGTGTGGGGTCATCATTGTGTGCTGTGAGCTGGGCAGGTAGGTCCTGTGTGGGGTCATCATTGTGTCCTGTGAGGTGGGCAGGTAGGTGCTGTGTGGGGTCATCATTGTGTGCTGTGAGCTGGGCAGGTAGGTCCTGTGTGGGGTCATCATTGTGTCATGTGAGGTGGGCAGGTAGGTCCTGTGTGGGGTCATCATTGTGTCATGTGAGGTGGGCAGGTAGGTCCTGTGTGGGGTCATCATTGTGTCATGTGAGGTGGGCAGGTAGGTCCTGTGTGGGGTCATCATTGTCTGCTGTGAGCTGGGCAGGTAGGTCCTGTGTGGGGTCATCCTTGTGTGCTGTGAGGTGGGCAGGTGGGTCCTGTGTGGGGTCATCATTGTGTGCTGTGAGCTGGGCAGGTAGGTGATGCGTGGGGTCATCATTGTGTGCTGTGAGCTGGGTAGGTAGGTCCTGTGTGGGGTCTTCAATGTGTCCTGTGAGCTGGGCAGGTAGGTCCTGTGTGGGGTCATCATGGTGTCCTGTGAGCTGGGCAGGTAGGTCCTGTGGGGGGTCATCATTGTGTCCTGTGAGCTGGGCAGGTAGGCCCTGTGGGGGGTCATCATTGTGTCCTGTGAGGGGTCATCATTGTTTCCTGTGGGCTGGGCAGGTAGGTGCTGTGTGGGGTCATCATTGTGTCATGTGAGGTAGGCAGGTAGGTGCTGCGTGGGGTCATCATTGTGTGCTGTGAGCTGGGCAGGTAGGTGCTGCGTGGGGTCATCATTGTGTCCTGTGAGGTGGGCAGGTAGGTCCTGTGTGGGGTCATCGTGTCCTGTGAGGTGGGCAGGTAGGTCCTGTGTGGGGTCATCATCGTGTCCTGTGAGGTGGGCAGGTAGGTCCTGTGTGGGGTCATCATTGTGTCCTGTGAGCTGGGCAGGTAGGTCCTGTGTGGGGACATCATTGTGTCCTGTCAACTGGGCAGGTAGGTACTATATTCTTCAAGGGAAAGTGGTAGTAAACCCTGACATATACCCAGTGGCTGGCCTCATGTGATGCAGAGATGAAACAAATCCTCCTACGTAAGTTGTACCTGATTATCTGCAGTCTTCTCTAATCTACTGTTCAAAGGGCAGAATTTATAAAACTTGTCTGAGCTTTCAGAATGCAGAGGGCAGGGAGCTGAAGTTAAGCTCTACAGGGCCTCAGTGAGAGCTGATTGGAGGAAAGGGACACCCCTCCCCCTCTTCAAAACAGCACACAGGAACACAGCTAAGGCTGTCAATCACATGCTGTGTGCTGCAGTTCCCTCCCGTCACCTTTTCTTTCTCTCTGTGTCAGGAAAACGTTTAAGAAGTGACTCATGTTGATAGAGGAAAGAAGGCAGCAGACAGAAATGACACTTCGTGCTCTGGACTGAGACCAGTACACACTAACAAGTGATATGCTTTTTTCATATTTCATGTCTGAGGTTTACAAACACTTTAATGTAAAGACAATTGTGTGGAGGTTTTTCTTTTCTGTGTTTATCATAAAGCCGGCCACAAACTAGAATTTTGTTGGATGTTGATGTGTTACAACACGTGCCATGCGTCTTTCTGCACATCTCACCGCGGGCATTATGATGTCTTCACATTGATTTTAATGGAAAACGAATATATAAAAAAACTGGCAGTTCCCTGAGAACACAGACAATGGCGGGTGAGAGGGGTGTCAGGGGTGTCAGTACCTTGATGCTCTTGATGTGACCCGCAGAATCGGCATGAGGCTTGTCTGGAGATTTGTCCAGCAGGAATTCAATGACCGCATCTTTATTGTACAGCCTGTGTGAGGACAAAACGATGAGGGAAAAAAATCGGTCATAACAGGTTTACTTTAATGCTTACGTTTCATCTGCTTATATTTGCCTCCCCTGAGGGTCCCTCCCACACAAACGACTTTTTCATTTTCATTACATACCTAATTTTAGACCCCATGGCATCATCACTAGGTCTCTGTGCTTCTTTACGCAAGGCAGGCAGATCGTGGCTGGTGGGAGGGGCTGGCAGGGTGATGTACATAGCTTCCATTGCAGCACCCGGCCTCGGTATTCCTTTCAAGAGCCCTCACCCTGATGTAAGCAGTGGGAGGAGTTATGCAAATTTTAAAATTCCTCAATGGGGAGGTGATGTCAGTCTGGAGGAGTGGGCGGTCCTACACAGGTTGTATTTGTATGCAAACAATCATAGGAAACACATAGGATGCTGAGCTTCCATGATTGAAAGAACTGAAATCCAATGAATGAAAGGGGCGGGACCAGGGACAGTCAGGCTGAGGAGGAAAGGGCAAGATGATGCTGGACATCCTCCAACCTGGAAATGAGGCGGAGTCTATCTGATTGCTGCAGCTTCTAATGCACATTGTGAGACGCTTTGTACAGCTGCCCCCACCTGATGTCAACTCAGCCTGATGACCCCACACAGGACCTACCTGCCTAGGACACAATGATGATCCCCCACACAGGACCTACCTGCCCAGCTCACAGCACACAATGATGACCCCACACAGGACCTACCTGCCTAGGACACAATGATGACCCCCCCCACAGGACCTACCTGCCCAGCTCACAGGACACAATGATGACCCCACACAGGACCTACCTGCCCACCTCACAGGACACAATGATGACCCCAAACAGGACATACCTGCCCACCTCACAGGACACAATGATGACCCCACACAGGACATACCTGCCCACCTCACAGGAAACAATGATGACCCCACACAGGACATACCTGCCCACCTCACAGGACACAATGATGACCCCACACAGGACCTACCTGCCCAGCTCACAGGACTCAATGATGACCCCACACAAGACCTACCTGCTCAGCACAAGGGACACAATGATGACCCCACACAGGACCAACCTGCTCAGCTCATGGGACACAATGATGACCCCACACAGGACCTACCTGCCTAGGACACAATGATGACCCCACACAGGACCTACCTGCTCAGCTCATGGGACAAAATGATGACCCCCACACAGGACCTACCTGCCTAGGACACAATGATGACCCCACACAGGACCTACCTGCCCAGCTCACAGGACACAATGATGACCCCACACAGGACCTACCTGCCCAGCTCACAGGACACAATGATGACCCCACACAGGACCTACCTGCCCACCTCACAGGACACAATGATGACTCCACACAGGACCTACCTGCCCACCTCACAGGACACAATGATGACCCCCCCACAGGACCTACCTGCCCAGCTCACAGGACACAATGATGACCCCACACAGGACCTACCTGTCCACCTCACAGGACACAATGATGACCCCCCCACAGGACCTACCTGCCCAGCTCACAGGACACAATGATGACCCCCCCACAGGACCTACCTGCCCAGCTCACAGGACACAATGATGACCCCACACAGCACCTACCTGCCCAGCTCACAGGACACAATGATGACCCCACACAGCACCTACCTGCCCAGCTCACAGGACACAATGATGACCCCACGCAGGACCTACCTGCCCAGCTCACAGGACACAATGGGCTTCTTCAGCTTCTCCTGGCTCAGGGTGCAGTAATACCAGCGGGGCGACCAGCTCAGCGTTCCTATCAATCTGGAAGACAAGAGAGACCCGGGACATGAAGGGGATGACATATGAACTCCAGCTGCCTCCAAGCAGGTATGTGGGCAATACAGCCTCCTCTATATAGCCTATGTTGTTCCCAGACTGATGGGGCTCTCTGCCATGGGTCATTCTGGGACTTGTAGTGTCCCTCTATGAACACTGCTACATAGGAATGGATGACAGGGCACTTATCTCTATATAAAGGGGGGGGGGGGCTCTCTGACAGTACATGCTGGGAGTTTCAGTTCTCCTCAAGCTATTTTGGGTGACAAGACATAAATACATCCCACTCCCCATAGAGAGCACTGCCATGACATGCTAGGACTTGTAGTCCTCCTCTGGTAGTATTAGTACATAGTAATGAATGGGGGGTGGGGGGGTGCTGGGCACTGCAGTAGTCCTCCTCTGGTAGTATTAGTATATAGTAATGAATGGGGGGTGGGGGGGGTGCTGGGACTAGTAGTCATCTGGTAGAATTAGCACATATTAATCAATGGGTTGGATGGGGTGCTGGGCCCTCCTCTGGTAGTATTAGTACACAGTAAAGCATGGGGGGGGGGACTTGTAGTCCTCCTCTCGTAGTATTAGCACATAGTAATGAATGGGGTGCTGGGCCCTGTAGTCCTCCTCTGGTAGTATTAGTACATAGTAATGAATGGGGTGCTGGGCCCTGTAGTCCTCCTCTGGTAGTATTAGTACATAGTAATGTATGGGGGGGTGCTGGGCCCTGTAGTCCTCCTCTGGTAGTATTAGCACATAGTAATGTATGGGGGGGGTGCTGGGCCCTGTAGTCCTCCTCTGGTAGTATTAGTACATAGTAATGAATGGGGGGGTGCTGGGCCCTGTAGTCCTCCTCTGGTAGTATTAGTACATAGTAATGAATGGGGGGGTGCTGGGCCCTGTAGTCCTCCTCTGGTAGTATTAGTACATAGTAATGAATGGGGGGGTGCTGGGCCCTGTAGTCCTCCTCTGGTAGTATTAGCACATAGTAATGTATGGGGGGGTGCTGGGCCCTGTAGTCCTCCTCTGGTAGTATTAGTACACAGTAAAGCATGGGGGGGGTGCTGGGCCCTGTAGTCCTCCTCTGGTAGTATTAGTACATAGTAATGAATGGGGGGGTGCTGGGCCCTGTAGTCCTCCTCTGGTAGTATTAGTACATAGTAATGAATGGGGGGGTGCTGGGCCCTGTAGTCCTCCTCTGGTAGTATTAGCACATAGTAATGAATGGGGGGGTGCTGGGCCCTGTAGTCCTCCTCTGGTAGTATTAGTATATAGTAATGAATGGGGGGGTGCTGGGCCCTGTAGTCCTCCTCTGGTAGTATTAGTACATAGTAATGAATGGGGGGTGCTGGGCCCTGTAGTCCTCCTCTGGTAGTATTAGTACATAGTAATAGAGGACACTGTTACTCCCTCACACACCCCATAGATGGTCTCTGGCAGGCCATGCTGGGCCCTGTAGTCCCTCAGCAGTCCCCCTCTCACCTTCTCCACCTTCTTGGGCCCCTTCACCAGCTCATGTCTCTTAGGAATGGTTCCCCCGTCGCAGCCCATGTCTATCAGCACTCTCTGACAACAACAAAACTCAAGTGCTTCCTCTTCCGGGTTCATCTGACCCGCCCACACCCCGGCGACGCACTTCCGCTAATTTTGCGGTTCATTCGGCGGCCATCTTACCTCGGCTTCTCTCGCCTTACGGCTTCAGGTCTGTTCAGCGGCCATCTTAGTACGCCTTGGCCTTCTCCGCCATCTTGCTGCACCCAGAAGTTCTGCCAGCGGCCATGTTGTCTGGTATGAGGCAGAGAATGTGTCTGGGGTGGGGGACTGACGTTCACCCTGTTACAGAGCTAGTCTTCCCCCCCCCATGCCCCGGTTCCTGCTTGCCCCCCAGCATCCCCTCACCTAGCTGCTGCCAACAATCTGCCCCGGCTGCTGAGGGAGCAACCTGCTCCTCTGGCCGAGAACCAGAAAGTCGGGCACCCTGCTGTGCCTGTATATGAATTCCACACATGCAGGCTCCCCTCCTGTCACCTCGGGCACTGTGTGATCCCGCGCTCCGTGCCCCCCAGAGAAAGGCCGTACTGCCTGGGCGGGGCCCTTTGCCATGCTAAGTCTCGGGTTACCACGGTAACGGGAACACACCCGGTTCCGTATATAATGCGGAGCGGGCCCCCGGTCCCAGTGTGTGTGTTCCTGGCTGCTTCCCCTGCTGGTGTGAGTGAGGTCTGAGCTGCAGCTGGACTTCCTCACAGACCTCCTCCCTCCTCCCTCTCACTAGCCTCCTCCACTGCCAGCCTGCTACAGACCCCCCTGCTGTGGGGGCCCTCTGTATCCTGGTCCCTATATCCAGTAAATGGATTATCCCTGTGCTGCCCAAAAGACAGCCCGATTCTGCCCCATGGACTCCAACTTCTGCGGTGCCCCCGCCGCTCTGTCCTGTTGAACTTTGTGGACTGTCGGCCCCCTATTGTCCCATATTGCCATCCTGAGAACATTACTGTATCGCTGTGTCTTGTGTTGTTCTGTGGACTTGCTGCCCGATCGTCTGTAACCCCACGAAACCCCCCAGTAAACGTCCGCGCAACATCGGGTTCCGTGCAATATGTCTCTGTGTGCTCTCTCTCTCTGCGCTCCTAGTATGTTACAACTGGATGAGAGCACTCAAGATGGCGGATGAGAGCCTGCAGAGGATGGGAGCCGGAGGCCCCGGAATATAGACATTGGATAGTGAGCAGCTTACAAGAAAAGGCCAGAACTTTGGCCCTCAACTACAGGGGACTTAATAAACATCAGTTGGTCCAGATACTGGAGGAAGCCAGCCAACGACAACGGGAAGAGTTGGGCATGGACATGGGCCAAGCAGTCTCAAGAGAAGACGGACCAGAGCGTCACAGTACAAGCAGCAAAAGCCCTTGGATCATTTGGTACGAGGAAGAGATGGCCATTCTAGGGAAGGAAGGAAGCTGGCGGCCATTGAAAAGGCTCAAAAGAGACAAAAAGAGTGGGAAGCTGCAAAGAACCAAGTAGCTGCTCCTATGCCTATTCATGTGGCACGGGAGGCCCAGAGAGTATCCAGAATGGACTTTAAGCCCTCCCAAGAACACAGCGGTGATGTGGAAGGGTTCTTTCAGGACTTTGAATATCAATGCGAACTACTGGAGATCCTGCCCACAGACTGGACTCGCCATGTGGTAGGGCTGCTTGATGGAGGGGCTGCTGAGGCCTATTGAATGATGGACCTTCTCAAGAAACGGAAACTATGAGGAGATAAAAAGGACTGTACTGGACTACTACGCGGTATCATATTGGGCTCAGTTCTGAACTATCCCCGCCTCCCAGAGACCTTGTTTGCACACAAGTTGTCATTAGCAAGTCACCGGTGGCTGGAAGGGGAGAAGGCAACCTCACCTGAGCAGATCATCCAGGCCATTCTGAAGGAACAGTTCCTTTTCAAGTGCCTCTCCAAGCTCCAACAGTGGGTGCATGAGCGGAAACCTGTTACCCTCGAAGAAGCTGCAGCCTTAGCAGATGAGGCTCTCCTAATTAACCCACAATGGAAGAAGCCTGCTGTCGAGGCACCCCAAGCTGCCAGGATGCCCAATCCTGCATCGGTGCCCTACACTCCTCATCGCTGGATGGGCCCCCAAACAGTGCCAGCGACATGGTCTAGGGGCCCGCTGCGAGCTACCTCGCAGCGGGCCCCTAGACCAGCCTTAGGCATTGTTTTGGTTGTGGACAGACTAGTCACTACCCCCGGTCAGCTGCCCCGCCTAGAAACAGACTCTTGGGCCTAGCTTGCCCCGGCCGGTACACTATGTGGATCTGTACCAAGCTCCAAAAAACCGACTTCCACCCCCCATACTGGAATCTCACTCCTGTGGACACTCCCGTGGACAGGAGTCTTTGGCCTACAGCCTGTGGGAGCCCCTACCCAGAGTCTCCAAGGAAAGCAGCTGCAAGAGATCACTGTGGATGGACAAAAGGCGGTGGGATTCCGAGGTTGAGGGGCCTTTTTCACCATTGTGGACTCCCAAGTGGTGCACCCTGACGCTTTCCAGCCTGGCCCTGGGATAGTGATCCAACTAGCAGAGGGCACCAAAAGCTTCATCCCTCTTGCTACTGTCGATCTGGACTATGGCTTGGGGCCTAAACGCTGCAATGTGGGAGTAATGGGAGGACTGCCTGCAGATGTACTAATTGGAAATGATGTGGGCGATCTTCAGTGTCACTTTGTTGGAGCCATCACGCGAAGTCAAGCCCACCGGGAAACTGCTGAGAGGAAGGAGGCACCCAAGCATGTGGAAGGACCTCCTCTACCCACGTTGAGTGGCTCATCTTCGACTGCTGAGAATACTGGGGTGACATGGGACTGGGACAAGTTTCAAGGGGACTTAGCCATTGACCCTATTCTGACAAGCTTCTGGGCCCGGTAGGGCTGACTGGTCCTGGAACTGGCGAAAGGATAGTGCAAGAAAATGGGTTGCTGTACCGAGTGATGGAAAACGTTGCCGAGGGGGGGCCCCAGACCATGGCTAAACAGCTGATAGTACCCCAACAATTTCGGACCCAACTGCTGCACCTTGCCCATGACATTCCCATGACAGGGCATCAGGGAAAGTTACGGACAGAAAAGAGGTGGGCCCAGGCCTTCTATTGGCCTGGGATGTCCCAATCGGTAGCTCACTACTATCGTACTTGTGATACCTGACAGCGACATGGGAGAACTGGTGGCCTTGGGCCCCTCTACAGCCCTTACCCATTATTGAGGAACCATTCTGAGTAGCTATCGACAATCTGGGACCCTTAGCTCGCCCCAGCAAACCCGGAAAGAAAGCGGTACACCCTGACCACCGTCGACTATGCTACTCATTATCCCGAAGCAGTCGCCCTGGGTGGGTCGACTACCGGGTACTGGGGTCCCTGTGGTGCCCTATGTCCTGGAACTGCGTGAAAGGATGGGCCAACTAGCCGCCCTCACAGCTGACCATCTCCAAGCAGCCCAGATCCGGCAAAAGACATGGTATGTCCGCAAGGCCTGCACGCAGGTGTTTACCGAGAACCAACAGGTCCTCATGATTGTCCCAAATCCACAGAACAAACTGCCATCCTCATGAGAGGGACCCTTCCATGTCTCATTAGGAAAGTGAATGACACTATGTTTTTGGACTAGTTGATCGGGGGAGGCGGCAGAAAACAGTGCATGTCAATATGATCAAGGAGTACCATGACTGAAACCCCCTTGTTTTGGCCGTCTGTCTGATACCCTCCAAGAAGGACCAAAAGGCTGTGCCGGATCTCCTGGAAGCAGCACACCATCCAACTGACATGCACCAGGTGCCCCTGGGCCTGCAGCTGAACTCAGGACAACAGAGAGCCATGAATGCTGTCTTGGGCAAGTGCAGTTCCGCTTTTTCTGCCTGGTCTGGGAAGACTACTATCCTCACCATGTGGATACCCTGAAAACCCGGCCCCTCCAACAAACTCCATATCGTGAATGGCCCACCCCCCAGACTAAGAAACAGGTTATGGCATTTCTGGGCACTGCTGACTATTATCGCAAATTTGTTCCCCATTTCAGCATGATTGCGAAACCCCTGGCGGACCTCACCAAGAAGGCCATGCCCCAGGTAGTAACCTGGACCCCGGCCTGCCAGACCGCTTTTGACCTGCTGAAAGAAGCCCTTTCCCATGATCCCGTCCTGGCAGCGCCCAACTACCAGTGAAGATTCCTCATGCAGAGGGACGCCTCCACTTATGGGATGGGGGCCGTCCTCAGCCAGGTAAATGAGGAAGGGGAGGAGCACCCTGTGGCCTTCCTTAGCAGGAAATAACTGGATCGGGAGGTCGCCTATGCCACCATAGAGGAGTGCCTGGCCATAGTGTGGGCATTGAAGAAACTTCAACCCTATTTGTATGGCCAGCAGTTCAACATCCTCACAGACCATAACCCCCTCACCTGGCTGAATCGGGTCTCGGGGGATAATGGCTGCCTCTTATGATGGAGCCTGGCCTTATGACCATACAACTTCACTGTCCAATACCGACAGGGAAGCCAGCACTAGAATGCAGATGGGTTGTCCCATCAGCAAGACCCCCAGTAAATGAATGCAATCCACAAGTACCTCTACGGGAACCTGTTGAGGTTCCCCTGGCGACACTTGTAGAATGGAGGGATTGTCACAGAGCTAGTCTCCCCCCATCCCCCAGTTCCTGCTTGCTCCCCCCCCACCCCCACCCCCACCCTGCTGTCAGTAGCAATCTGCCCCCCGGCCGAGGGAGCATCCTGCTCCTGTGGCTGAGCACCAAAAAGTTGGGCACCCTACCATCAGTTGGGCTTTTTATTACCGGCTTTAGGTTCACTTAACATGTTGAATGATATGGGCTGGTTAGTCATTACTGATTCCTGCTCTCGCTTGTAGATTCTCTTCCTCTTCTGAAGAACATTGGTTTGCTATTTGAGAAATGGCCGACAGAAGAGGAGGAAAGTGTCAAATCTGCAAAGCATGCCTGACAGACCCACTTCCCACCACATCCAAGGTAAGCCGTCTGAGTGGTCTAGGATCTCAGTCTTCCAACAAAATTTCCCTATTAAAGGTCAATCAAATGAAAA